GAGAGTACACCTGAAACTGAGAGTACACCTGAAACTGAGGCGAAGACGGAGAGTACACCTGAAACTGAGGCGAAGACGGAGAGTACACCTGAAACTGAGAGTACACCTGAAACTGAGGCGAAGACGGAGCGTACACCTGAAACTGAGGCGAAGACGGAGAGTACACCTGAAACTGAGAGTACACCTGAAACTGAGAGTACTCCTGAAACTGAGGTGAAGACGGAGAGTACACCTGAAACTGAGAGTACACCTGAAACTGAGGCGAAGACGGAGAGTACACCTGAAACTGAGGCGAAGACGGAGAATAAAAATCCATCATTGCTTCCTGAACTTTTTGTCTCGTCATAAAAAATAAGTTAGAGATGCTGATGCATGACCCCCAAAATTCCTGTTTGAATGAGCCAAACCTGTATAAGAACAAAGAACATTTTTTATTCACTTATGAGGAATGTTTTTATTTATTTTGACCAGAACTCAAATTAAAATGTCTTAAATGGGATATTCCCCTCATTTTAAAGTGGGATTTATGGGAAAAGTATGAACCAATAATATAATCTGTTGTTTGGAGACAAACAGGTAAACTCTGACAAATAATTTATTCCCCTGTCCAGAAGGCAGGATAGAAAAAAAACACACATTCAGTTGATTAATTTATATAATTTAATGAATTAATTCATTTATTTAAAGTCATGCTACCAGGTCTTTTGAAATTACCTCTGGGATCAATTATTTATCTGTAATTGACAAGCTAATGAGTCATTATTGGTCCGGCTATCCGGTTCAAACAGACCCACTTTGCACAAGAATTCAAACAATTTAAAGTATTTCGTACAAACTTTGAATATTGACCCCATTACACAGTGTCAATCTCACATTTTGTTGTTATTCCATCAGAAATGTGATCTTGTTGCTGTAGGACGTGAGCTGCAGCTCTGGGCTTCGCTCGTTTTTCCCTCATACTTCTGATTGTTTGCAAATGATGCAAGAGCAGAACAGGAAGTTCTGCTCTGATCCGGCTGATAATGAAATGTGGGGCAGGGCGGCATAAGACCAGTTGGTGAGGCCTGTTGTTGTAGGTAAACCTGTACGATTTAACACGTTTCAGCTTTTTCTGGGTAAATTTTGTCTCATACAACCCAGCATGTATGGAGGCCTGGAAGTGCCAAAAAAAAAAAAAGTGTCAACAAGTGCATTAAAATTTTAAATAATTACATAATAAAATATGGCAATGAATATTTATATTTTGTTGTTTGCTGTCACAATGTATCTGTCATTGTCCCTTTTTATACGCCCGTGGACGTATTACGGTACGATTGTACGTCCGTAAAATTGCTCGTCCCATATCTTCTGATCCGCTTAAGATAATTTAAAGAAACTTCATACACGTCTGCATCATCACTAGACGGAGTGTTGCGTACACTTTTCATCACCCAGCTCCAAGGTCAAGGTCCCAAATCAAGGTCAAAGTTTATACATTGCTTTTCATTGTTATGCTGATGACACACAGATTTATTTACCTTTAAAGAAAGCAGATTCCACTTCTCTTCGGTCTCTGTTTCTATGTTTGGAGGATTTGAAGGCATGGATGGCCCAAAATTTCTTGAAATTAAATGAAGACAAGACAGAGGTAGTGATTTTTGGCAGCTCGAATGAAGACTCTCTGCCTGTTGATTGCTCTTTGGCTCAGTATGTCAGGCCAGTTGTTACAAATTTAGGGGTCAAGATGGATGCTGGTCTTAGGATGGAGTCTCAAATTAAAACAGTTGTAAAGTCAGGCTTTTTTCATTTGAGGCAGCTGGCTAAAGTAAAACCAATTCTTCCCAGACAGCATTTTGAAACAGCAATCCATGCATTTGTGACCACACGGCTAGATTACTGCAATGCACTTTACATAGGTATTAGTGATTCATGTATTTCCCAGCTTCAGAGGGTTCAGAATGCAGCTGCACGACTTTTAACAGGTACACGGAAATTTGACAGTATTTCTCCTGTTTTGGCCTCTTTACATTGGTTGCCGGTGCATTACCGGATTCATTTTAAAATACTTTTATTTGTTTTTAAAGCTTTAAATGGCCATGCCCCTCCATACCTGTCTGAGCTGCTACATTCTTACACACCCTCTCGTTCACTCAGGTCAGCTGACCAGTTGTTTCTGAAGGTCCCGAAGACAAAGCGTAAGCTTAGAGGGGACCAAGCTTTTTCTGTGATAGCTCCCAGGCTCTGGAATGACCTTCCATTGAACATAAGACAGGCCTCTTCAATTGAGGTTTTTAAGTCCCTTCTTAAAACTCATCTTTTTTTTTGGCCTTTTAGCACAATCTGAGATGTTTTACCTTGTTTTATTGTGTTTGTATTTTATTTTATTATTTTATTCCTGTTTTAAATTTTACCCTTCCATTTTATCATTGTATTGTATTATATAATTGTGTAAAGCACTTTGGTCCTGTTGGGTGCATAAAGTGCTCTATAAATAAAGTTGGTATGGTATGGTATGGTACAAGGTCTTGGCTTGTCTGGGCCATTGCTATAGATTGACGTATCAGTTTGTCGACGGGCGTACGATGTGCCATATGCGGCACTTTTTTTTAACTGACTGGTCATTCTAATTTATATTTGCGCTTTTATTAGTACAACACAGATCAAAGATTATTTATATGTGAAATTATAGCCAGGTGACCATAAAAGGTAGATCTACAAATGTATGAATAGTCATTTCCTAATTATTAATAACATTTTCTGTATCACTTCTGGTTCTCCAGAGATCTATATTTATAAATTATTATTATAAGTTTTGACCTTAAATTTTTTCTTTAAAATTGTCCTTTATTTAACATTTATTTACCGTTTTAGCTGTGATTCGTCTGTCATCTTTAGATTGGTGTAACATTTAAATGTGACCCGTGTTTTTCTGACACACATGCAGCTGTGTTGCAGGAAAAACACTTCCTGGTTTGGAGTCGTGGTTTTTACTCATTTGACCGAGCAAACAAAACGTGGTAAGGTGTCATGGAGGAGACGTAGCAGAGTTTCTGAGCACAACGACGAACAACATCACCTTTCAGTCGTGAAACAATTTAACTTTAGTTTTAATAAATTAACTCGTTCAGCGATGGAAAACACAACCTGGCATTTCTTTAAGGAATGCATGTCGCCCGCGGCCTTTCATTCTAATGTTTTGAACAGATATGAGAAATTAAAAAGATGTTCGTGCTCAGGAGTGTGTTAGGGAGGACTCTCTGCTACTACCACACCAAACTACAGCTCCGTATCTGTTAAAGTGACTGAGTCACAACCGTTTTTGTGTTGCTTGTGGCGTCCATCTTGGATGGGGTTGCCTCCAGTGATTACTGGCTGAGAGTTTTGTTAAAAGCTAAGTTAAAAGTGGTTCATGAGATATTTTGCTAACAGAGCAGACGGACAAGCACAGATTCATACTCAGCAAAAATATTATTGATAATATTTAGACATTCCTGCAAAATGTGACCCTGGGAACTGGTGTTTCTGCTTGTAAATAACCTCCCATTGTAAAATTTATGTTGAGCTCTATGATGCGGCGTTAAAGTGTGTGCGTGGTTGTGTGCACGTGTGTGTCAGAACGTGCACATTTGGAAACGTAAAGGACCTCCTGGTCTGCAAACAGCTCTGAGACAAACAGAAGGCGGGTCACATGGACCGAGCCGACGTAACGTTCATCAACAGGCTTCTCTCATGTCTGCAGACTGTGTGTGCACGTGCGTGTGTCTGTGCATGTTACACTGACCCCACCCTGCTCCATGGAATGCTTTGAATCACTGGAACATGTGGCCAGTAAACTGCAGTCAACTTCTCTGTTTTCTTCTTGCTCCTAAACAGTTTTTAGCTGCAGCCATGCATCAAACATATTTTTATAATTTATTGATGTGTTTACCTTTGATCTTCTTCTGTGTTTGGTGTACTTGCTCCAGTTACAACTCATTTAGCAACATTTAATCCTTTCATAAAAGTCTAATTGGTAAAAGTTAATTGAGGCTGTGGAGTCCAGTCTTGCTCACTATCCTGCACATTTTACACGTTGCTCCGTTTTGACGTTTGTGATAAACGAACATCTGACCTGCCGAAGAGCAGAGAAACAACAAAACCCTGCAGGATACTGCTCCTCCAGGACCAGGGTCGGCAGATTGCTTCAAATCTTCACCTCATCTCTCCCATCCTGAGAAACATGGAGGTGGAAAGAAATGTCCGCCGTCAACAGGAGGAAACCTCCAGCAGAACCAGAACGAGGGTCTTTCTGCCCCAACTGGCTGAGGATTGAGAGGACGAAAAAGAGAGACAAAGACTGAATGGCTGGTCCGGGTGCAGTTTCTGTGATCCGGGTCAGGTTTCTATGGCCCAGGTGTAGTTTCTATTGGAAGAAATACAACAAAAAACTGTTATTGATAGAAATAATTACAAATACAAACAGGTAGAGTTGAGCAAGTAAAGAGAGAGAGAAGAAATGTGGTTGATTTGTCCTCCAGCAGTCTAAGCCTGTAGCAGCATAACTAAGGGATAGCTCAGGAAACCCAAGCCAACCCTAACCATAGGCTTTATCAAAAAGGAAAGTTTTTTTTTTTTTTTTTTTTTAAACTGAAGTTGTTTTAAAACTAAAATCTGCTTTAGATGTTGGTCTGCTTAACTACCCAATATGCGCTCATCAGAAAGGTCCAAGCAGATCCTCCTCCTTATTCCAGATGTTCCCTCTTCAGGGCCCTCCACAGTGAGTCCTCCACCACCTCCTCACTCTGTCCTCTGCATCCTCTGCCCTCATTCCAACTATCCCCATGTCCTCCAACTGCAGCTGCGTTTCTAACATCCTTCTACCAGTATACCCACTGTCCCTCCTCTGGACATGTCCGAACCATCTCAATCTGGCCTCTCTAACTTTATCTCCCAGTTGTTCAACTTGTGCTGTACCTCTGATGATCTCATTCCTAATCTTATCCAACCTTGTCACTCCTAAGGAGAACCTCAACATCTTCATTTCTACCACTTTCTGTCTCGTCTTTTTGTCCATCTGTCTCCAGACCATACAGCACAGCTGGTTTCACCACTGTCTTGTAAACCTTTCCTTTCAGACCCACCTGAAACAAATAGAGTATTTGACAGTACCTCTTGTGTTTAGGGTACACAGATTGGTGAGGCCAGCCTAAACATTTGGGAGGCCGTGAAAGTTCAATTAATCCAAGACGGGACGGCCGTGGTCTCCAAAATATGAAACCTTCCACACACAAGGATGGTTTGGCACTTTTGTATTGGCTTTAGATGAATAATAATAAAAAAATATTAATTTAATTGTAAGTGTTATTTACCTTTTAATGAGCTAAAGTGTTTATTTGATGGACACTGGTCAGTTTGTACCCCCCGCCCCCCCCCAGTGGTTCTACAAAGCAGTTATTTATTTCAGTGGTTGACGTTGCGTTCAAATAAGTCCTGGTTTTAACATGGATCATAGGCACCTGCTTCCTGCGATCAAACTGTGCGTTATTTCAAAGTCAACATTCGTGTATCAGAAGGTGCTTTTTAACAAATATTTATGATAAACAAAAACTTGGGAGTTTTACTGAGAAAACAGTTTTCGGTGGAGTTAAAAGCCACTCGGCTGTTGGATCCTTCTTGACGTTTGGTTCGTCCTGAAAGGCAGGAAATGAGAGGACAGAGACTTTCGAGAGCCTCTTTTCCTTCCTGTTTCACTTTTTCACAACGAGGCGTGTGACGGGGTTAATGTGGAGAAGAGAAAACTTTTTTTAAAGCTGCCAACAAAGCTGCTCTCAGATAAACGTGATTGATTTAAAAATGAGTAACCAACGAGGAATGTTGGACAATGAACTCACTTGGGTTGGTCGTGTCAAAAAAGTGTGAAATTAAAATCACAAGTTAATGATTATTTTGTTTGATCTTATTCCTGCAACGAGTATTTAATAAAAAGTAAAGATGAACTGGGAGAAACAAGTTTGATTCATGTTTTTTTTATTCTTTTCTTTTATTGCGAGGCCAAAAAAGTGAGAACTAAAAGTCACCTTCTTCTTTCAGGTATCTGCTGGAGCAGGACTTCCCGGGGATGCGTATCGGTCCGGAGCCGACCACCGATGGCTTCATCGCCGTGATGTACGGCGAAAACGAGGGGATCGTACCCGGCAATGCTCTGGTGGTGGACCCCAAGAAACCCTTCAGGAAACTCAACGCGTTCGGGAATTCTTTTCTCAACAGGTGAAGAAAACACGTTCTGGCCGAGCTCCTAAAAAGACAGGCAGACAAAAACACAGACAAGAATGTAAGCCTCAAACAAACAGGCGCTGTGTGAAAACGTCAAGTTGTCTTGTAAAGATTTCTAAACGATGAGCAGCAGAAAACTCTGACGGCCACACGTGACAATTTTCTAGTTTCTACTGTTTTATGTAGACAACATTGTTTAAAAAGACAATGGGAGAGTACGATAAATGGGAGTTTAAGTGTGTACGGTCTGAACTCTGGAGGGATCTAAGAGAAATCCACGTCCTATAACGATGAGAGGAGGCAGAAAATTACCTAGTTTGGTGAATAAACTGCAGAAGAAATGTAAAATGTTTAGACGGCTCAAAAATCATCAAATAAAACTGTGATTGTGTAAAAACCAGTCGTGTTATGGCCAACTTTTGGTGCCCTGTTTAAACTTTGTATAATGGTTCTGACAAGACGCTCGATCCAAACGGGACTGGGTTTTACCACCCGAACCAACAAAATCCCATCGCTGTCTCTGGAGTTTGCAGTCCATTGCAAACTTTCTCCAAACCACAGGATGTGCAGCTACCAAGAGGCCAAGCTCAGTGTTCGGATGTACTTTTGGTTGGTAAAGGAGTAGCCAAAAATCAAGAATAATGGGCGAATACTTGATATTCTGAAGGTTTTTAGGCCTCAAAAATGGCTTCCTTTAATACTGTCTCTGAGCTTCACAGTATCATTTATTTAATGAATAATTATAAGTCGTACCATTTTCAGTTAGAGCAGTTTGTTTCTTTTGGCTTTTAATATTTAAGTGACAGAAGGCTGACGACTGGTTGTTGGTCCGAGGGGTGACCTTGCTCCCTGTCCGGCAGAAATAGTCTCTGCACTTAAAGAAATCCTGCCCGTTCCCGCTCCTGTCACTCCTTTCCTCAAAACACTTCCAACGTGGGAAGTGACCCCTCGTGACACGTAAACACAGAGAGCTGTCAGGCTCCAGACACGTCAGTTTGCACAAGCTTTTTAAATTTAGCTCAACTCTGGTCCAAACTCGTTTCCTTCATGCAGCGGGGAGGTGGAGGGGCACCACCTCCCAGCTGTGTGTGTTGATGTGCACCTGAGGCCCTCCTTAAACCGAGAAGCCCATTGTGTTCGACTCCAACACGAGGAACGCTCCATCATAAGTTACTGTTTCCGAGGGGAAGTGTTTTTGCGTCACGGCGCGTTGGCTCGCTGGATCTGTTTTTTCCCCGCTGTTAGTCAGAGACTCGGGTACAGGGACGATTAATTTCAGGCTAAATTTATCTGTTCAGGAAAACTTGAATACAACAAAACCCATCAGATGAATCCAGCGTACGAGACTTCATGTGGAAGACTAGTAGATGTAGGTCAAATCGTACCCTCCCTTTGCATCCAGTCGTTTCCATATCTGCTGTGGTTGTTTCTTACCAACTGAGTACAAAATGGTTTCAAGTTGCACTTACAGATGGGTACCCTATTCACTACAAACATCCAAAGTGGGTACGAAGTGGCTTCTTTAAAAAAAAAAAAAAAAAAAAAGCAAGTCACTGCAAAACATAAAGAAGTGCATGTTGTTCCAATATTTTTAAAACTCATCACTTTATAAAATGAGCCAGAAGACGTCAGCGTGCATCGTTGTTTTAAATTAACAGACATTAAACTTTTACTTTGTAAAAAAAAAAAACTGTCAGTTTTATCTTTCATTTTTTCTCTTCTTGCTCACCTCAGCAAACTTAAGCTAACGTACTTCCTGACTCAATGCTAACTGTGGGCCAATCGCATTTCACAAGATAAACTTCAGGGAAGCCCCGCCCCTTTGTTCTGTGGAGACTTCTTTTAGCTGAAACACCTGGGTACAAGATGGTTTATGAAGATAGATTTGGAGGAAAATATGAATTAACCTGGAGGTGGTGGACTGGTCTGATCCTGGGTACCCAGTGGACTCCTGTTAGGACGTAAATTAACCAAAAACTGATCAATACATTTGATTGGAATAAAACTTCTGTTCAGGTTTGAATTAATTTAGTTCTTTCTAGAGGCGTGAACGAGACCTTACAGTACAAGACGGTGTTTAGTTTAACGTCTTGGAGGGTGTCCTCTCACCTCGGTGTTAAACTCTGTGGGTTTGGTGTTCCAGGCTCGTACATTAGTGGTTTCTGGGTTGGTTTTCTTTCTGAATAAAATTAATTACAGCTAAATATCTTTACACATTTGCTTTTTTTTTTCACCTTTATACAGGTCAATCCCAACGGAAGCCATTTTCTGTGCATATCTTTCCTCACAGATTGGTCAATATTTACCTACATTTAGTTTGTTGCCTACCAAGGTGTCGGTGATATCTTGTTACACACATTCGCACGAGATTTGTGGGATTTATGTATAATTCTCAATAACTTGAACTTAACGAGTTGTCACCATTAACCTTGTAGCCATTTAGAAATATTGACTGACTTGAGGAACTCCGCAACCCTTCTCAGACCTTGATTTCCGTTTTTAGTTCATGTTTGTTTTGGAAAACTCAAATTATTTAAAACTTTTGCACCGATTTATTCATTTTCTATTATAACAAGATTTGTGATGGAATAAAACGTTTTTCCTCTATCTGTGTTCAGGTTCATCTGCTCTCAGATGCCCAATCAGGTTCTTCAGAGCATCAGCGTCATCGACACGCCGGGCATCCTGTCGGGAGAGAAACAGCGAATCAGCCGAGGTATACGGTTAAATTTGAATAATTAATCTTTATTGGTGCTGCGCATTTTAACAATAAATGTATTTAAGGTTCTTTATAAAAAGATGACGTGGAGTTTGACTTCACTAAACTACAATCTGACTAAAAGAAGCAATAAAATACGCAGCAGGGACTTGAAAAATCAAAACTCATCAGATTATTGTTAAAATGTAGATTTTAGTCAGAAAATGAGCAACAGCCTTGATGTTCTTTGGACCGTTGTCGTCGTGATGAGCCATGTTTTTACTAACAAGACTGAGTCGTGTTCCTGGTGAGGCTACATGTGTTTCCTGTGATGAGTCAGGGCTGCCGCTCTGAAACGTCCGTAAAAGCAGAACCACTGAGTGAGAACACCTGTTTCCCTGTCGCGTTCGCTGTCAGGAGTCGTGCTTGTGTTCTGTCTGTTAGCAAAATATTTCCTGAGCCCGTGGACTCATTTTGATGAAACGCTCAGGAAGAGATCTCTGGATGCGCGTCTACGACTCCTGAACACCTGGAGCCGTTCAAATTCAAGATGGCCGAGATTCGAGATGCTAGTTCAGTTTTAATAGAAAATTTCAAAAATCACAACTAGACTACCGGAGTCCAACGGAAATAAACGTGATTTTATTTTACAAGAAAAACCAGATCTGGCCTGAATAAATCCCTTCTGCAGAAGGTATTATTCCTAAATGTAAACATGAAGCTGCAAACGGGTGAAACATGAATAGAACTGGTCGGTTTGACTCTCACGGGTTAATGATACAAATCTTCACAGTGAATCGGGACTCACGAGTCCGAGGTCTCGATTAACCTGGATCCTACATGTTCTGTGCCAGACTGCAGTTAAGTGTACGAGATGACGAACGCGCCGGGAAAAAAAAAGCTGAATGTGTGGAAACACTTTGGACTCGGTCGTTGGTTCAGGTTAAAAACTCACCAGTACCATTTTGGATGAAGATGAGTCGGGGTCCCTGATCTGGTTTACTGAATCACTGGAAACGCTGCAGACTCTGATGAGTCGGGTCGTTAGTTTGGGTTAATAAAACGCCAAAAAGGCTGCTGACTCACGTCCAAGATCCATGTTACTAACTTACCACAAATGTTGCAGACTCGGTGAGCAGTGATCGAGTCAAGTGACTGAAGTGAATCGAATCACTTTAGTGAATGACTCAGATTATTCTGAGTCCATAAAGTGAACCAGCTTGACCAGCTCTGATTAATACGGGCCGTTTGCATCCTGGCTCTAAACCCGTCCCCGACTTTTAAACCCAGAAACTTTTAAACTTTTGTCCCCGTTTGTTTCTAAGCATCCTCTGAAGTCCAAACGGACCGGGTCAGTTGCAGGATGTGCGTCAGGGTTTTTCTCCAGTCAACGTCTGTTTAAGCAGTTTCACTTCCCAACTTCAACTGGGACCAGATGTTCTGCCACAGAACGAGGCACGTCAGTGACGGGGCAGTAAAACTGTTCAGGTATTTCTTTGACCAAACGCAAATAAAATGTTTAACGTTAAGCTTTAAAGAAAAGTTTCTTTGTGTCGCTGCTCAGAGAAATAACCTAAATTGGAAATAATGTATGTTTAACAGAATTTAGTCTCCAAAAGAACAAAATGGAGCAGGTTTGTATTTAAAATGATCAGAATATTCCTTTAATATTTTAAAGTGATGGAGGACCGGCAGACTATCAGCTCGTCCATCGGTTTAGCATTATACGTTTATTTCAGCAGAAATATAATATTCCTGCAGGAAGTGAACTCATGCTGCATTAGAAGTGCTACAGCTAACTGCTGCTGCTATTTATGCTCACATGACTATAGAATTCCATATAAATGACCCTATATTGTAAAAATGACGACCATAAAATAGTGTTTGCGTGAACCGTTATAAATTTTAGAAAATTGAAGCCAATGTAAGATGTCAACCGTCCACTTGGATCATCGGTCCTGTCAGAACTAAATGGTAAAATGGCTGAAATGTCCCTTTTTGAAAAGGAGCAAGGGGTAAAATTTAATATGAAACAAATTAAGAAGCAAAATAAGGGAGTGAGGTGCTGCTGCCCTACACCGAGTCAGCCTGGGTGAGTGACATCATGAGGTCGAGCTGGCTGGGCGGGGTCAGAGGAACAAGAAGTGCGTGCTCTCCTTCCATCTGGAAGCATTCAGAGCCGTTCGTCTGAGGTAAGATTCCTCCTGAAGTCGTGATTTGACACAAACTTGCTCCAGAAAGGCGTCGCTGACGATGAACTCGTGCACCCGAGCTCTGAGATCATCGCTCCCATCAGGAATGTTTTGGCTGATTTCAGCTGTTTCTTGTTTTGTTTGTTTTGGACTGAATAAAAACCCATTATTTCGTGTATTCAACAGCTGCTTTAACAAAACAAAACAAGATGTGCCGGACTTTAACTCTGTTTTGCCAAGAGCTGCAAGTTTGTTTTGAAAACATGAAACGCAGGTTGAGTCACACAAGTATTCACTCCCTTCGGCTTTTTTAATTTTAATTTATTTTTTGTCGTCTGTAGTGAACCAGATGACCTCAAATCTACCAGATGGACAGAGACTGTTAGTTTCATTGATCTGAATTAGTCTGGGCCATCTGATGACTTTCTTTCTTGAATTAATCAAGCAGAAAAGACAATCCTCTATAATCATTACTGTTTTACAAATGTTTTAATAATCAAATTGTGTTAGTTCACTCAATGCTTACAGGTTGAAAAGAACTACTCATCTTTATTTTACATAAACAGTAAGTAATGATTTTTATTCCTCATTCCAAGAAGAAATCACCTGAATAAGCATTCCTTGATTTTCTGTCTGAAATGAGTCAAGTCGTAAGTATGTGAAAGGTTGGTTTTCGGTCAACTAAAATGTTTACCGAGAAAAATGTCATGTTTAAACTTTTTCAGAAGATTACCAAGAGTTGACTCCACGAAGTCTGCTGTTGCTGCAATAATCTTTTCTGTATGTGAAAACAAATTTCATTCTCTGACCTCGACTGTTGATAAACACCTTACGTCAAAACCACTCCTCTTTCTGGTCCTTCCACGAATCAGAAAGCTCTAAATTGAACAGGAAGTCGACCCAAATAAAATGTGGCAACTTCCCAGTTCATGTTAGTTGGAGATGGAGATTGAGAGTGAGAGTCCGACAGGAAAAGATTCCATGGAGAATGGAAAAGTTCTGAAGGAGTTCAGAAGAGAACTAGAGTTATGAAGAGTTTTGGAGTTGCCGAGAATCCAGAGACGTGTGGGATTATAATTCTGTTTTGAGCTAACCACGCACGACTCTTCGAGGATTTTAGCTGTTCTTAACGGAGGCGCTGGAAACAGTCTGAAGGATGCTTACTGAGCTGATCTATCGTCAAACCAGGTAAAGACTTCTTCTTCGACTAAAGTGTACCGTGGACAAAGCTGAGGATCTGACGGAGCGTGCAACTTCTGGTCAAACAGATTAAATTCCCTCACACAGTTCTCTGTAAGATAATCTCCTTTCATCTTAAACTCTTCTCTCTCACAAAATCAGTACAGATATTTTTAGAAATATCTGAAGCAAAGTCCTCAAATCACCGCCGAGTGATTTGAAGTTCATTTTCTGTGAAACTGTCTGTTATTATTTTCATATTTTGCCAAATTAATGTAAATGTTTGATGTTAAACTTTGATTCTGAAAATAAATGATTCCATTCATTTGATGGGTCAAAGATAAATAACGTCTCTCGTTACATTTTGTGTTAAATTCAATGCACGGCATTTACAGTCAGAAAAATGAAGAACTCGTGAAAAGTATGCATAAATATATATCCATATATTTGTCATACAACAAGTGACACGTATCTCACGTGACTCACTACACGTCTCAGCCTGGAATTTCTGCGTGCATATGTTTTCACCCCCTCTGCTTAAAGCCCCAAGTGTTACTGTCAGAGCCACATCAGCAGACTTTCAGCTATTTCAGCCGTTCAGATTCTAAAACGTTTAGTACTTCAGGACATTATGGCTATGATTTTCTGTACTTGCAACTTTAATTTTTCCAAATTATTTAACTTTATTTTCCTTTTTTGTTCTGAAATGAATTTATGAAATATTTTACATTTAAGACCTCTTATTCTTAAAACAATTAGCTAGAAGTTTAACTTTTAGCTGATGTTCAGTTGATTTTAGCTCTGATTTTGTTGACTTCAGCTTTCAGTTTCTGTTCTGTTAACTTTTGCTTGTAGCTCCTGTTTAGCTGGTTTTAGCTTGTAGCTCCTGTTCTAGTGACTTTAGCTTTCAGTTTCTGTTCTGTTGATTTTTAGCTTTTAGCTCATTTTGTTGACTTTAGCTTGTAGCTACTGTTGTATTGATTTTAGCTTTAAGCTCCTGTTTTATTTTTTAGCTTTCAGTTACTGTTCTGGTAACTAGCTTGTAGCTCCTGTTTAGTTTGTTTTAGATTGTAATCACGGTTTTGTTGACTTCAGCGTTCAGTTTCTGTTCTGTTGATTTTTATCTTTTATCTTGTTTTGTTTATCTTTTAGCTCCTGTTTTGTTTTTTAGCTTGTAGTTTCTATTTTTTTGGTTTTAGCTTTTAGCTCCTGTTTTAACTTTCAGTTTCTGTTCTGTTAGCTTTAGCTTGTAGCTACTGTTCTATTGGTTTTAGCTTTCACTTACTGTTCTTTTGACTTTAGCTTTCTGTTCTGTTGATTTTTAGCATTTAGCTCCTGTTTTGTTTATCTTTAGCTTGTAGCTACTATTGTATTGATTTTAGCTTTTAGCTCCTGTTTTAACTTTCACTTACTGTTCTGTTAACTTTAGCTTGTAGCTCCTGCTTAGTTTGTTGGAGCTACTGTTCTGTTTGGTGTTAGCTTTCAGTTACTCTCCTTTTGACTTTAGCTTTCAGCTTCTGTTCTGTTGATTTTTAGCTTTAACTCCTGTTTTGTTGACTTTAGCTTGCTAGCTTGTAGCCCCTTTTCAGTTGTTTTTAGCTTGTATCTCCTTTTCAGTTGGGTTTAGCCTGTAGCTACTGTTCATTCATTCAACCTCTATTTATACAGGATAGGCTCATTGAGCCGATTGATTTTAGCTTTCAGTTACTGTTCTTTTGACTTTAGCTTTCAGTTTCTGTTCTGTTAACTTTAGCTTGTAGCTCCTGTTCAGTTGGTTTTAGCTTGTAGCTCTTGTGCTGTTTTAGTAAATCTTCTCTTGTGAGTGGAGTTTCTGTGGAAACTTCTGGTTGCAGATTTGGTTTTTTGGCGGCAGCTTGTCTTCAGGGTGGAGCTGCTGTTTGCCCACTGGGCTCTGGTCCAAAAGGTTCTGACTGAACTTCTGCCTCTCTGTAATCAGAGAGAGGAGTCTCATGGACTCCCTCAGGAACATTTTTACTTCTCCAACAGTGGGTTCTAGCAGGTTCCTCAGCTCTGGAACCTCCTCTGTCTGGTTTAATTTCCAGATGACTATTTGCGAAGTCGGTTGTAGATTTTTAATCTGAGGGTGTTGGACTGAGCCGTTGTGCTCGATCAGTTCTGCAGTGGCTGAAAGGTCCAGTTTGTGAGCAGCATCCTCGTCGGCGTTCTGGACAAACATCATCCGGGGTCTCGGGTTCTGCTCAGTGGCTTCGTGTTGCTGAAGGAGAACTAAGATTTTAAAAAGTAAATTAAAATGAGCAGATTTTATTGTTGACAGTTTCTCTGTTCGTCAGTTTGCAAACTGGATTTTTTTTTTTTTTTTTTTTAGCTTTTAGCTACGTACTATTTTTAGCTAGCCTTTTGCTACTTTTAACTAATAGCTAGCCTTTTGGCACACTTACTTGATATTACTTTTTAGCTACTTTTCTACTACTTTTAGCTTTAGCTAGCCTTTTGGTATTTTTAGCCTATTTTAGGTAGCCTTATGGTATTATTGCTTAATATTTTACCTTTTAGCTACTATACTACTACTACTATTAGCTTTGGATAACGTTTTGCTTCTTTTAGCTTCTAGCTAGCTTTTTGATGCTCCATGAATGAACGTAGCTAGCTTTCATCTACATTTAGTTATTCTTTGCTGGTTTTAAATTTTAGCTTCTATTGTGGTACTTTTGGCTTTAGTTAGCCTTTTTCTATTTTTAGCCTCTAGCTACTGTACCCTTTTGCTACATTTACCTAGCATTTTGCAGCTTTTTGCCAAAACTTTTGCTACATTTTGCCTGAGCTTTGCTGCTTTAATCTTTCATTGAGAGTTCTGCTTCTTTTAGCTTGGGTTTTGCTTTTAACTTTAACAAACCATGTTCAGCTTCTTCGGTAGATTTTAGCAGCTGTTTAGCTCTTAAGTAGGGACACGGTGACGTTTTGTTTCATACAAAGGTAAATGAAAAAGGTCAGACAGTGTAATATAAAACCTGAAACTGTTTCAGTGAATTATTGATTCATCTTTAGGATTCAGATTTAATTCATTACTTCATCACCAGCAGGCGAAGGCTCATGTCTGGACCTGGTTTCATGCCAAGGCTGGATCCAAAGAGGTGTAACCGTGTGTACAAGTACCTCAGAGGAAGTATTATTGTTCGACTGAAGGCATTTCCTCTTTTAAAGGAAGTGGAAGACGTAAAGTAATCAGTCAGTCGGGTATAAACCTCTCATATCAGAGGAATTTCTTCCTGTTAACCCTGCAGGAGTTTGGTGTTGCCCCCCCCCCCCCCCCTTCAGGTGGGGTTTCTCAGGTGCAGGGACCGTCCCTGCTGACTCACCTATTTATGGGATGACACCTGAGCCTGTCAGGATAACCCGAACCATGGGGAGTAGGTGAGACGGACCAGTTCTGGCACAGACGCCCTCATTATTTCATGATCAAATCACCGCCTGAAACCACCACAGAAACGAGAGTTGTGTTAAAATCTCAAGGTGACGTGCATTCCTTCAGTTTTATTTAAATGTTTGAGGCCTGTTTGTTCGTTTGTTTATTTCAGCTTTTTAATCCAAACTTGAAATTGTCACGACTAGTAAATCTGCCCCAACGCTTCCCAGAATAAAGGTTAAGAATAAATAAATAAATAAAAATAGTTGTTTTTTTGTCCAACAATATGCTGAGAAAGCTGACATGGTTCTGTTGAAATCAGAACCAACGTGTCTCCAGGTTTCCTGCCGGGTCTGTTCGAATCAGATTTCTCCTTCGGTTGCTAAAATTTTTCTCCTGATGTTAAAATCTTTGCGTTCACAGGAGAGAGAGAGAGAGAGAGAGAGAGACACACACACACACACACACACACACACACACACACACACACACACA